GCAGCCATGGCCCACACTGGAACAATTGTTCAGGGAGCTAAGACAGTACAGAAGACCAAAGCGCCCACTCCTTCCCAGAACATGGGACACAAAGCACAACCCACACCTAGGGTCAGGAAGACAAAGACTCCTGAGAACCCAAAAAGACCTGAGTTACCCTCCAAGACTTCATCCAAGGCTCCCAGCAAGAAGGCTGAGGCTAGTAGCTAGGGCCAGGGCTGGGGAGATGGCGACTCTGAAGCTTTTATTCTCTAACAAAGCGTCATAATGTTTAATCATAATTTATTTATCAATAAAGACTTCTCTTTGTATTCAAAAGAAAAAAGAATATATTAGCCATAAACTATAAGATAACCATGCTACAATCCACAGACCCAAAGAAGCTAAGCAGCAAGGAGGACATAACAGGGGTTGCTTGAATCTTACTGAAAAGGGGAAATAGAACAGGCACGGAGGTAGAGGGAGGAAGGGAACTGGGTTATGTGAAGGGTAGGAGGTGGGATCAAGTGGGGGGAGGTCAGATGAAGAGAGTATGGGAAGAGAAAGTAGCACTGGGGAGGCATCTCTGGGACAAGCTAGAAACCTAGGAAAGTGGAGACTCTCAGGAACTGATGAGGGTGAGCCTAGAAAGACTCCTGTGGGAATATGAAATCTGAATCAGCCATCTCCTATAACCAGAAAAGACTTCCGATGGAGGTGCTGGGACACCAACCCACCCAAAACCTGAGACCCATAATTTGTCCTGCCTACAAGATACACAGGGATAAGGATGAAGCAGAAATCAAGGGAAAGGCCAACCAATGATTTGGTCCAGCTTGAGACCCACGCCATGAGAGAGAGCCCATCCCTGACATTATTAATGATATTTTGATGTACTTGGAGATAGGAGGCTAGCATAGCTGTCATCTGAGAGGCTTTACCTGGTAACTGATGGAGACAGATACAGAGGTCCACAGTCAAACATTAGTTAGAGTCTGGGGAATCCTGTGGAAGAAAGAAGGATTGAAGCAGCTATTGAGGTCAAGGACACCACATGAAAATGTACAGAACCAACTAATCTGGGCCCATAGTGGCCCACAGAAACTGAACCATCAAACAGACAGCATACATGGAATGGACCTAGGCCCGCTGTACATATCTAACAGTTGTACAGCTCAGTCTTTATGTGAGACTCCTAACAGTAGGGGCAAGTGTTGTCTCTGACTCTGTTGCCTACCTTTGATCCATTTCCCCTAACTAGGGCTGCCTTGCCTAGCCACAATAGAAGATGTGCCTAGTCTTACTGCAACTTGATATGCCAAGGTGGGTTGATATCCACAGCAGGCCTCCACAGGAAAATGGGGGTGGGGGAGATGAGAGGAAGGGATTGGGAAAAGAAGAGGGGGAGGAAGATGTAATTAGGATGGAAAGTAAATAAAAGGAGACATATAAATAAATAAAATTGAGTAATTATAATTGAATTATTGTTAGCTCATGTAATATACTTTCTAAATAAAATGTTTAGTTAGCATATAAAAATCATATTTTATTGAAAGTCAAGAAAAGAAGACAAGTTTTCAAAACTGAACTGAATCAGTAAAAGATAGCAGTTCACAGAATAACCAGATATCATAAAGGATTCGCAGCATTCTGTTTCCATGCTTTGGTTTGTTGGGAAGATGCTACCTACAACAGTTATCTCAGAGCTTACTCATTAGGAAACAACAAGCCTTTTCTTAGAAAAGAGAATAAGATAGGGCCTGCACCTGTTAGGATAAATATCCACAGTAGGACTCAGCATTCAGTGCCCGTCTACATCCCTCCACTCCGTCTTTAAGCCTTTGCTCCTGCAGCAGATTCTTGCTTTCAAAGATTCATCTTAGAAGCTTGTATGCTTACCCTAATTCAAAAAAGACTGTTTTACTGAATCCCTGTGAGTATTCAAATCTAAAAGCATTACATTGGTTTATTTTAATTCTTTTACCTCTACTAAAGACCTAATGAGTTGCACTGATGTTTAAGTGACATTATATAGCAAGTTACTACAAGAAACATACAATTTGAAAACATAAACAAATACACTAACTACTTTTCGTACTCACTATGTGCCTTGTAAAATACTGAATGTTCTTGTGCCTGCTCCATTCATTTGATGTAAACCTACTTACTTGGTCCCGGAGAAGAGCAATGGACAGTACCTTAATGGAACTTATATTCCAGTAAGGAAGTAATGAACAAGTAAAACATGAGGTACATCTGCCCTAGTTACTATTCTATTACTATGAGAAAATGCCACAAGCAAGACAACTACAAGAAAGCATTCAATTGGGGCTTGCTTATAGTTTCAGAGAGCTAGTCCATAATCACGAAGGCAGGCATGGCAAGGTAGAACCAGCTAAGAGCTCACATCTGATCCACAAGGTGCAGGCAGAGAGGAGGGTGGGAGAGAAGGAGAAAGGGGAGGGATGGGGAGAGGGAAGAGAGAGAGGGGAGGGAAGGAGGGGGAGAGAAACTGGGTCAGGTGTGGGCTTTTGAAATAAATCTCAAAAACCTATTCCCCAGTGACACACCTCCTTCAACAAGGCAACATCTCCTACTCCTTCCCAAATAGTTCCATTTAACTATAAATCAAACATCCAAATATATGATTGATTCTATGAGGGTCCATTTTTTCTTTTTTTTTCTTTTTCTTTTTTTTTCGGTTTTTCGAGACAGGGTTTCTCTGTATAGCCCTGGCTGTCTGGAACTCACTCTGTAGAACAGGCTGGCCTTGAACTCAGAAATCCGCCTGCCTCTGCCTCCCAAGTGCTGGGATTAAAGGCGTGCACCACTACCGCCTGGCCCTTTTTTTTTTTTAAATCACCAGAACAAGTGATTAAAATAAAAGCTATGGGAAAAAATGTGCAGAGAAGCAGTGAATGTGTGTGTGTGTGTGTGTGTGTGTGTGTGCATGTGTGCATGCATGCAACAGTGCTCATGCATGAGTGCTTGTGAAAGAGTAACATTTAAGTAAGATTATGCTCTATGATAAAGACTTGAAGAAAGTCAGAGACTCCAGAATGGACTCCTAAGGGCTGTTGAACACTTACGTACAACTCTTTGTTCAGTGATCACAGCAACACTATATGTAGGTACATTTATTATTCCCATTTACAGACAGGAAATTGAGGTGTAAAAATATTCAGAGCACCGCTTTATGGCCCTCCACTCGGTGTCTCCAAGGCCTGCTGTTCTCACAGTTCCTACTTCCAGAGCATCTCTCACGACCTTTGACCATGTGGCCTGTAGAGAAAGGGTGACTAGTCCCTGATTTCCTTTCCACTTCCTTGATGCTCAGGTAAAACAGGAAGCTGCATAGCTGCACATTAATTGTATAGTTAGGAACCTGGGCAGGAGAGGGCTGTGTTCTTTAGCTACACCAAAGAATAAGCTAAATTAGATGAACATCTTCCTTCACTTGTAAGTTAATTTCTAATTGCCTTTCTTTTATCAAGCCATTCAACTACCAATAACAAGATGTCCTCATTTATTGGAGCCTACATAATAGGATAATCAATTACAACAGCACGTTTAAAAAGTGATTTGACATGAAACAGAAAGTGAAGTTATGCTTCCTAAGATAAATAAGAGAAATTCCTTGTTAGTCTCTTGCTGAGGAAGGCAGAATGGGACCTTATCAGTCACAGTCCTCCAGGCACAAAAGCCAGAATGTGAGTACTCGCCCTGCAGAAGTAGGCGCTGCAGTTACTTATCTTTTAAATCAACAGACCTGGAACTTTCAGAAGGAGCTAGGAAATGGATGAAGGGAGGCAGGTTTGCTTAAAAAGGGCTGGCAATGGAATTTGTTGTAATTTAACCGTCATAACATTCTTGTTTTCAGTAAGTTCTCAGTAGCACAATTGTACATTTACACATGACTTGGCAAGCCCAGCTTCTGGGTACAATTTACCTAAAGACAAAAGGCCTAGTTGCTTCTGCTGACCTGATAGCTCCCACCTCCAGAGTTTGCCTCATGACCTTTGACCATGTGGCCTGTTGAGAAAGGGTGACTAGTCCCTATTTCCTCTTCACTCCTTGATGCTCAAGGAGTAATGCAAAACAGGAAGCCACATAGCTGTACATTCATTGTATAGTTAGGAACCTGGGGAGGAGAGAAGCTGTGTCCCTAACCATTCCAACAAAGGTACAAACCATAGCAACCAAAGGAAAGGACACCACTTGATAACATAGAAGTTTTTCTTTTCTTCTCCCAAGTATATGAAGAGTGGCATTGGTTGTTAACTTTAAAGTCAAGGACCCTTCTGTTGAGCTTAGCTCTTGCTCTCAATATCCAACTGCATCTGAAGCATAATTAATAGCATGATAAACTCAAGTTGTGGGAGAGTTAAGTGAGAGGCCTCTTCTATGAGTTCCCCTACAAGGAGCTTGTCATAAAGAGGGTTTATTCAACGTTAGAAGAGCTATTAACGTGTGTATTAAAAGTCATCTTTTCTCTGGGCCTCTTATTGGAGTTTCTATGTGTGGGCATGTTCCTTAAGAAGGAAGTGGGTGGACAAGAGCGCACTGGGTACAATTTGTGTATTTGCAAGAGCAAGCAGAGGCTTTCACTGAGGGGGAACATATGTTTCTGGGGCTCCATCTGTGCAAAAAGCTTTGCGTCCTGAAGTACTAAGAATAAAAAAAGACTTTTAGAATACTTCTATTTCATACATCTTTCATCATCTGTGAACCTTTGGAACAGTGTAACCGACCCTAATTAACTAGAAGTGCTACTCGCAGCACAGTTTGAAGTTCCCACCTGCACCTGTCCTAAGGGCAGCTCCTCCCACAATCCTTCGCGAGCCGAGTGTACGTGGGGCCTCTGAGGACGTGCTCGTCCTGGGTCTGAGTGCGCCTGCTTTGCAGGAGCCACGCCCCTGTCCCCTGCGGGCCTGGGTCCCTGTGGGGTGGGGCGGGGCTTGCGACGGGGCGGGGAGGGGCGGGGTTTGAGGCCGGTCCCCACGCCTCTGCGCTCTGCAGTCCCTTCCAGGTCGCTCCACCGACGCGATGGCCGTCCCGGGCTCACTGGCCGAGTGTGGCTACATCCGGACCGTGCTGGGCCAGCAGATCCTGGGTCACCTGGACAGCTCCAGCCTGGCCTTGCCCTCGGAGGCCAGGCTGAGGCTGGCAGGCAGCAGCGGCCGCGGCGACCCGGCGGCCCGGAGCCAGCGGATCCAGGAGCAGGTGCAGCAGACCCTAGCCCGCCGGGGCCGGAGTTCTGCGGTCGGCGGTGAGTCGAGCCCCACCCGTCGTGCTCGTCGTAGCTCTCGGCGGTGCGGACCTCTGTCCGCCCGCCCACCTGTTGCTCACCTTCCCTTCTGACGCGTGGTTGGTCGCTTTCGAACGCTTCCTCCCTAACCTTTGGTTCAGGTCTACCTTATTCGTATGTTACACAATTGTCTGTATTAAAGATTTCGATCGGTTTCACCTTTCACCGCTCGCTCCGGGTTCGTGCCCTGAGACTCTAAAAGCACTTTGAAATTTCATGCAGACTTTTGTATGCGAGATTGTTTTTCTGGAAAAGGGCGCTTTGAGCTTTTATTTGAATGTTTTAGAGTTTACGACATTCTATAAATATTTTTAGAAAGAAACCTTGAAAGCCCTGCAGCCCCTCCATCCTCTAAGTTGAGGTTACCTCGCCCGTGTACTTAGGAGTGCGCCACTCAGTATCTACTGTGAGTATTTGATCTGCGACTGAACAAATTGAGCAAGTCGCCTTTGGGCCTGGGAGCAACTTCAACACCCTGTGGAGGATAAGGAGGAGGAAGGAGACTTTGGCCAGGCTGAAGGTAGCCCCGCCTGCCCACCTCACACCCACACACCAGCACCCAGCACCAACAGATTCGTGGGTGCAGAACCGCCCTCATTTTAAAAAAAAATCAAATCCTCATCACGCAGACTAGTTGACAGAACTGTGGTTGATCAGAAAGATTAGAAGCTCTGGCAAATGTGGTTACCATTAAGAATAATAATGCTTCCGTGCCAGCATATGGATTTCAAATAGCAGTCTGGGAGGCTGTACTCTTTTCGGTTTGTCTAAAGGTTAAGGCAGTTGATGTTTGCATACTTGAAAAACGTAAAGAGGTGTTTAATGATTTTAAGCTCATGTAACTGAGTGCCTATAATGTCCCTAATTAGGCTATGTGGCTCACACTTTATATTATCTTTTAAAAAGGAACTGTGTATTTTTTTCATTTCTCTTTCCATATGTGTAGATATAGATATGATTTTAAAGATATGCCCTCAAACTTCCTGTCCCTGCCTCCCATGTTCTAGGATTGCAGACATGAGCCTCCTGGGTTTTTTGTGGATCCAAGCTTAGAGACAAGGAAACTGAGCAAATAAATAACAGTCAAGATTCCAGATAGAAAGTGGCAGAGGTGGTATATAAAAGCCAAAATGTGGAGTTTTAAACCTATCGTTAGTTATGTTTGATTGGAAACCAAGCTTCCCTGTAACGACTCCTTTTCCTCTAAGTAAAACTAAGGAAGTTCTAAGAGGATGGGAAGGTTTACACAAGAAAAAAAAAAAAAACTCTCTTATTCCCTGGTGAGAAGAAAAACCATAATTTAGGGTTAGAAATGTGGCTAAGGACTCCAGGACGACTGAGGTCAGTGTTTGGCTAGTTCTGCCATTGCATCCTGCAGTGTGAACAGCCTCTGCCCAGTGCTAACCTGGAACTGAAGAGCCTCTCTGTTAAGGGAGCATAGTGCATATTAAAGATTCTTCCTTATCCTGTAAGGATGGCCAGCCCAGAAGCAGGCATCAGCTAGTAAACAAATGGAGGGGGGCGTCCAGTGTGGGCAGAAGGAACAGGGAGCTTTGCCGAGCACCTATCATGTAGCAAACTGGCATCCCCGATCTCATGGGTTTCCATTTCATTATGTTCTTAAATGGAATTGAAAAGGTGAATGAGCTAGATCAGGTGACCTGTTTCAAGTGGGAGGCACGTGTCTACCCACAGCTGTAGGATAATGGTCCAAGCCTCACAGAATTGGTGTCTCCTCTCTACAAAATAATACAGGAGCTGTTTGGTGAATTCAACCACTGCCACTGAATGTGTTCTTTTTCAAGGGGCATCATTCAGGTGCTGAATTAAACACACATTTGGTATGCTTTGTAACAAGAAGTTTAAGCCCAAAGAAATGCAGTCCTGAATCAAAAGCCATAAGTACCCAGAGAACAGCAAGGGTGTCGCAGAGTACTCAAATGATAAGCTCTCCCAGCCACAGAGAATTTTGAAAATATGTTTGGAGGAACTGTGATATTAGTTCCCCACCCCACCCTCCCACCCCCAGACTCTGAAACTAGGATTTTTAAATCTCAGAAATTTGCTAGGATTGGGCACGGAAGGTAGTTGGAGATGTGTTACTGTAGAAGAGGTAAGCAGAAATATTTCATCGAGCCAAGTTGATGTGGGAGAACAAGGGCACAGCCGTGGTGCTTCTGTGCTTCTGTTCAGTTGAGTGGTTCTTCCAACTAACGGATAAAGCCAGGAGCTATTTTTGATTACAACAGAGCTCTTTAGCAGGCTACACAGAAGTGCAGCTTAGGGGAGGGGAAGTCATCAGACCCCTACTCTGAAAGGAGGTCAGCTACAGGGAACTGGCTGGAGCAGCAGCATGAGGTGACTCCCACATGTTTAATCGAAGTACTTGGAAAGTGTTTGGGACTCCTGGTGGCTGTATTGCTTTTATATTTTCCTTATATCTGTGTCCTATCTGTAGTGCGGAAACACAGCAATACTGAAACAGTGCTGATCTGGAAAGAGTGACCCTGATGTCACTGCCCTTACCCCAGTGCCCTAGAGAATTCTGGATTGTTGACATACCAGAAAGGATGAGGCAGCAGATAGTCTGCCGAAAGATCTGTAAGGCTCTTTCACCCTCTGTGTCTTTCTTATAGTGTATATCTTCACTGTAAGTCACTCACTGACATTTGGTATCATTTTAAACTGCTGAAGTATTTTAAAGTCAGTTTTATCTCCTAGGTTCAAAGGTGTCTGTGGCTGCATTATAAAATATGCATATGTTTTATCAAATTTTAAAATCTTATAAAAGTCAGAATGAAGCATTTAAAATGGCAAAGAAAGAGAGCAAAGATAGCAAAAAAAATTATACTGTAAAGCACTGTTTTACTTATTACATTGTTTCTCTCTCTCTCAAATGCCTAAATAGAAAGAAATTGTAGTATGTAATGCTTGTAACTCACAGTGAGCTATATTCCAATTCATTTTACAAGGTCTTTGAAGATCTACCATCAAAGCTTCAATCATGCTTGTCACTTACATGATTTCCCGATGAAGCTACTATCAGTATTGGAGATTAGAGTGGATTCTGAAGAGGGGACTACACATTTATTTTGGGATTTAAATGGTGCCATTAACAAAAGCCAAGTGTAGTGGCTCGTGCCCGTAATCCCAGCACTGAGGTGGCTGGAGCAGAAAGAAGGATGGTTGTGTGTTTAGGATCAGCCTAGTCTATAGCATAAAACCGTGGTTGCGAGACAAAGGCAATTAATAAGTGCTACTAAAAAGAGAAATTATCTCATAATTATCATTTATAGTTGCCCTTTCAGAGAAGTGAAATAAAAGCTTTTAATGATTTTTAACTAAATTAGAAATTCAATTTTAATGTAAAACCAATGCTAAACTAACTGAAGATAAAATAGCATAAAGCTTTGTGCTGTAAGACTCCTTTGCTAAAGGGTATTACATAAATGAATCACTCTTGAGTGAGAGGATTAGTCAGTTCCAAGGATAGGAGACAGGAGGGGAGAAGCCACTGGCGGGACTGTGCTCATGCTATTCTGAATGTGAGTGTCATCAGACCTCAGGGTGCAGTGACTTTCATGTTATCCCATAGCACACTTTCATTCAGATTTGGTAAAGTAAATTTTTTATGTGAGGGTTTTCTGTTTTTACAACCTTCTGATTATACTCTGTCAAAATAGAATACCAACAAAGTGAAGGTTAGAAAGAACAAACTTCTCAAGTGGGAAGAACATATCCTTTTGTGGGTAAAGGGCAGAGTGGGAGAAGGATAAGGACGCTCACTGCAGAGTCAGTGGAACTGTGAGAAACCAAAAATCTGGGATCACATGATTTGATTTTTGAAAAAGCACTATTCTTTAGAGCAGGAATAACCTTAAGGAAAAGACCTGGCTGTTGTCAGAGTTGTCATGTGCTAGTGTGCTGTTGTCATGGGAACAGAAGGCCACTCTTTAGAACTGATTATTCTAGCTATTTGTGACTTGTTGGTGCCTTCTCTTACAGTATCCTTTTGTATATCAACTTTAAAACTTTTTTCTCATGTATTAAAATAAGGCTTGTTTTATTTTATCATCATATTGTTCAACATTAATATTGATATAGAACTTAATAAGAAATATGGAACTGGAACACCAGATTTCATTAATGTGATCTACAATGAGAGCATTTGGTTCCTGCTCAGATGAGCTTCAAGATACTCAAATTATTAATTATTTAATTCTGAGATAAATGTAGACCTCTATTTTGTGCATATATCCAAATGTATTTACACACAAGTCCCATGCTCCTCTTTGTGAAGGAAACACTAAGTATCATCAGCAAGACTGGATATAAACCATGAATTAAGATATTTTTTAATTTTTGTGCCAAAGTAACCCCTTCCCTTCAGCTCAGTAAATTAAGAATAACAGTATATAAAGTTTCCTTTATAATAGAACAGCAGTTCTCAACCCACATACCAAATATTTATATTACGATTCATAACAGTAGCAAAATCATAGTTATAAAGTAGCAATGAAATAATTCTGTGGTTGGTGGTCGTCATACATGAAGAACTGTATTAAAGGGTCATAGCATTGGGAAGGCTGTGACGACTATAAGAGAAACATTAAAAAAAACCTATTGTATGTATTTTATACATTGGATATGGGGCTTGAAAGTATACTTTTAAGTGTTTAGAGATCTGATTGGCAGCTTAGTATGTAGGCCGAAATAAAAGTATTTAAAAGTAGTCTGCAGCATTACTGTACCATCGAAGGAATGCACATACTAACTGAAATATAGCTTTAACTATAATAATGTTATAATAATATCCAAATTCTGTAATTTTATCATTTCCAGAATTTCAAAGAAAAAACATTGCATGTTTGAAGCTTTCTGGTTACTTTAGACTTAGGATCACATCAATTTACTGAATCTTGTAAGATTGTAAAAGCTTTTACATTTTTATTTTATTTGTT